TAATTAGCAAGTTTCACGATGAATGCGGCTAAAGTAAACAGTCTCTCAGAGAGCGGCTCGGAAGAGAGGGGCGGAGTCAGCAGAGCTCATTAACATTTAAAGGAAAATGCTACAAATCTGCATGCTCTGAAAAGAGCTGTTTTTGACAGGGTAAAAAAGGTGTTTTTACACTACCATTGAGAAATTTTAACCAAACTATGTTAGACTTTTCATTAAGACCCTAAAGAATCATATCAACTTGATGACAAAAATTGGCATCCTATGACCCCTTTAAAAGGTCATTATCATCAAATGTTTCTAAAATGTTTATGTTCCGAGGCAGACTGCTGGCAACAGCCGTTTTAGGATAGTTTGTGGCTTGGTCTTAGTGACTTAGGAGTCCTCTTCACTACTCCTAACGTTTCACAGATTTAGGAGCTAGTTTTACTGCTAAAACACTTTGTAAAATACTCTTAGAGCAAAAACGTAGGATCGACACACCCATTATTTTTTATATTTTCTCTTAAATCGGCGAGTTATGAGCTACCTTTAGCCCCAAGATATTTTGTGAATACGGGCCCTGATGAATAAACATTAAAGGTCACAAGTTGCTATTATCTGTTAACACATCTTATCAACACAATGGAGCCCCATTTACTTTGGCCACTGATCACTATTTACGCTCCCATTGGTTGTTGCTGTATCATGTCATGGCTTATTTGCAAGTTTGTCACATTACCAAAGATGATTGATGTTGCCGGAAACAGTCAACTGTCATTGAAAATGAATGGGATCTTCAGGTGGCAAATCACTGATAGTGTGAATGCCCCTTGACAGCAACATACAAACAACTTTAATCTCTACTGTATCAGTATAAACCATCTGTTTTATGAGGCCAGTGTTCAACTTTTTGAAAGTCAAGGTTATTGCCATCTAGTGTTGTTCTTTTTATGGTTGTGGAGTTCACTTGGAGAACTCAGTGTCACTTGTTTGTTCTCTCTTTCTTGGTTTAGACTGGAAGAGTGGGATGTCGGTTCCCACTGATATCACAATAGCTTACCTAATCCAGGGCAGCTTCTACGGCCATTCCATATATGCCACCATCTACATGGACGCCTGGAGGAAGGACTCCCTTGTGATGGTGGTGCATCACTTCATCACTCTGGCGCTTATCACATTCTCCTATGCCTTCAGGTCAGGCAAATTTACAGACTATGTTTAAGCAGTGATACTACAGCCTGTTGAAATGGGGGTTTGAAGTTCTATTTCTAGTTCCAACAATAATAATTTACAGAACTTACAAATAATCAACTCAAATTATATGCCACTAAAAAACACAGTTCATAAACCACTCATCATTGTTCATATCATCCTCAGATACCACAACATTGGCATTCTCGTCCTCTTTCTTCATGACATCAATGACGTTCAGTTGGAGTTCACCAAGCTCAACGTTTACTTCAAGACCCGGGGAGGGAAAGAGTACCTCATCAATGATGTCCTGTCCAACATGGGGGCCATTAGTTTTAGCATCACATGGTAAGGTTTGCCTGTTGTTCAAGAACCAGAAGTTTTCTTATGGATGCATATAGTAACACAGCATTGAAACGTTATAGTAGTCTAAAAGTTATTTGCAGAATTAGGCACACATCCTTTATTGGTCCTGGAACAACATTCCCATCAACTGATCATTGCCCTAAAATTTTAGGGATGGGTTTGCTCAATCCACCACTTTCATCTGACAAAACTTGTAATAATTTATGGACCTAAGTTCTGGAGTAGGGTAGATCTGTAGAAGCAGGATTGGGTACCCCTGGTTTAGGGTTAGACATTACAGGCAGATGTGTTTGATTAGGGCTGGAGGTAAACTCTGCAGGACACTGGCCCTCAAAGGCCAGAATTTCCCACCCCTGCTCTAAAATATCCCTTGTACATGTAGCAACTACTTTGTAACGGATTTTTTTGTTTTGTTTGTATTGCAGATGCCTTCACATGTGAGCTAGTTTGTTCTTGTTATTTGTGCAGGTTTTGGTTCCGTTTGTACTGGTTCCCCCTCAAAGTTCTGTGGGCCTCCTGTGTCACCAGCATCCGGTCGGTTCCCAACATCCCTTTCTATTTCTTCTTCAACACACTCCTGTTTGCCCTGCTCCTCATGAATATCTACTGGTTCCTGGTAAGAATGGGTAGTTTAAGAACACAACAGCAGTGTAGTGTAGCTCAGGGTTAGTAACCCGAAGGTTGCTGGCTTGAGCCTTGCAGTGAGTCCACTGTGAGCTATCATCAATTAGGCCCCGAATGTGTAATCTTACTGTCCTGAAATCAGTAGTATCAGATCATGTTAGCTAGATATCTAGCAGATACTTTATCCAAAGTGTCTTGCTGTACACTCACAACATGAACAGTGCACACTAACCTGGCTTTAACTGTAACTTGAAATATAACCTACAAACGTCATATAACTGGCTTAGAAACCAATTAACTACCACCATTTAACCTGTTCAAGTTGCATTTCTCATGTGCTATTGCTATGAAATGCCTATGTAAATGTCAGACATTTTTGTTCCTTTCTGCAGTTCATTGTACTGTTCGTGGTGAAGGTCCTGACGGGCCAGATGAAGGAGGTAAATGACGTGCGGGAGTACGAGGAGGAGGACCTAAAGGAGAAAAAAGACACTAATGATCAGATGTCTACTGAAGGGTAAGCAAAGAAATGCAGCAGTCTGTGGTTAGCGCAGGTTTACAGCATGTGCATGTAACGAAGAGGAAGTCGTGTGGTCAACTAGCAGTTCAGGCAGAACTGAGAGCTGTAGATTCAACGACCTTGAGTGAACCAAAATGTTTTTGCCTATTCCTACTGGTATTTATTGCGGTGGTGTACACATGCACTTAACCTATAAACGTGCTCATTCCAACATGACCTGAAGGCAGGATAATGTTAATTTTCTTTGAAAATGCAGATTCGCTTTACTAAAATGTAATCCCAAATAGACCAGAAGAGTATATAAAACAAAGCTATATTAGACACTTGATTTCCACTTAATCTTGGCCCCATTTCTTTAAAATGTCAGAGTTGGGCAGAAATAGCTTTAGTTTTAGGGTAACACAGTCGGAGATCACCGAGTGTGATGGTCCGTTTCAACCTGATCTGTGAGACGTGGAGATTCTCATGTATGTGACTAGCCTCATGGCATCCTAATCTCATGGCACCTTATCTCTCGGACCTTGAAGTGAAGTGATATCTAGCCATGCCACATGCATCCTGCAATCACCACCTCCTAGCCTGACCGTGTGCGTTTCACGTCTCTTCCTTCCTCTTAGGAAACACGTGCAGAACGGGATCACCAAGAAGAAACATCTATAATGTCTAGGTGCTGCCACCTGCAGGCACTTAACCATGACTGCAAGGTACTTATATGGCCTAGTTTGATTGTAACCTCAGAACACCAAGGTGCTTGGACAGTTATAAGAAGAAACAATATTGACCATCATTTGTGTTTTATCTCTATTGTTTTTTATCACTGTTATTATAATTGTAATCATAGCACTGTGATTGTTATCTCTCTTGTGTATTGCTTAATTTTTTTTACTTTATTTTATTTTATTTTAAGTTAAATGAGTGACCTTTCACTGATAATTAGGAACTTACGGCTGGAGTGCCTATGATATCTCTGCCCGTGAGAAACAAGGCAATGCGTTTTGGAGAACAGCGGAAACCATGATAACCAGGTTTTGTGGTCGTCATCTGGGACCACAGTTCGTTTTAGATTTAGACCAGTGTTTTTGTCGTTCTGATGCATCTATTTTCATTCCAGGAGTGAAAAAAATACAAATGGTTAATACATAACTTGTAGTAGTGAGTATTAGTGGAGTGGTTCTCAGATGGTCGAAAGTCTGATCTGAAAAACAGGAAAAGGACAATCTAAAAGCGTATAATGTTAGATGCAAATTATTAATATGCAATCACACATAGTTAGGGGAGTGAAACAAAACAAATTCTTACCATATCTTTTGTTGTTTGCATCAAAGGGCAGGCTGTGCGTCCAATCACACATCAGTATTTTGCCACAAATTCATGTTCATCCATCACTTTCGCAGTGTGGGCTTAAGAAGTCCATGGTAATATTAACACTTTTAAATTTTAAGGAATTTAACACAACAACAAAAAAAGTACAATGCATAATAAAATATAACAATCAGTATCCTGTTGATCAGTACCTCAAAACCAGTTGAGAACCTCTGTACTAGTGCATCTTGTTTAGTACTAAATTGAAGTTATCCAACTAACTTGCACCCTATGCAGGGTTACAACCACAAATAATGACCTGCATCAATAAAAATGGTATTTGTACAGTATTACCGTGTTTGAATGTACAAGGGAATCACTTTCAATGTTAGTACAATAATACTGCTTGCATTCCTTCCGTCGATTTTTTTCCCCGCTAGCAACCGCTGCTGTAATGGCGCAATCTAAGCTAGCTTCTGATTGGCTAAATCTTTACACTCAGATGCTATATCGTGTTTATTTTACAAAAATATATAGATCAAGAACTTATAATAGATAGTGGATGATTATTCAGTCCGACATTTTTTGCTACCTACTCAAATTAATCAAAGTATTTATGCAGATGTTGTATGCAGGAACGCATGATATTTGAGAATATGCTGTATTAAGAAATCTTACGACAAAAGATCAAATGGAACTGATATTATCTCTCGTGACGTATTGATTACTCCAGAACTATCGCAATACTTGAATAGTTGATTTGCCTACTGTATCAAAAGTTCCGTTGTGGATGAAGATCATAATCTTCGCACACAAATGCTGATGAGGTCTGTGCGTTGCTGTGGTCACGTCTTCTGTTCGTGATGCTAGCTTGAGCTAAGAGCTAGCCGCTTATGGTTTTGGATGTTTTGTTTTTGCGTGAAATATTCCTTAACGCAATTCATACTGCTTTTGCTGTGTTTTCTACGTATACGTCCATTATTTATAACGCAGCCGTTTATAATGGTACTTGCAAAGGAGTTTAGTCAGTTTCTAGTCTAAAGTTATTTTTACCCGTCATGTCAAATCACTGGGGAAAAAAACACGTTGTAGTTAAATGCCGTTGTGGTTAGATGGTAACCTCATTCTGCAAAACATTTTCAGCGTTTGCTTGGAGTCAGAATTCAGGTTACCAACTAGCAATAACCGTTAAATCCAACCATACACTCCATTGATTATTTATATATATATTTATATATATATATATATAATATCGCTTCGTCATGCCTAGAGCTGATCCGTGCTGGTCGATGAGGAAATACTTCAACTTTGCGCTGTCGATTGCCGGATCGGCTTTCACCGTGGACGAAGCGGAGTCCAGCCCGGGGTCGACACATGTGGTTGTCGCAGGAATCACAATATGGTAAGGGACGTATCATTTCCGTCACACGCTTGAGGTATTTGGCCAATCACAACGCACTGAATAGCTGGCCAATCAGAGTACACCTCGCTTTTCAGACCGATGAGCTTTGTAAAAATCGACGCGTTTCAGAAAGGCGGGGCATAGAGGAGAAACAATAATGTACAGTATGAGGAAAATAATGTGTTTTTTGAACCTTAAACCGCATAAACACATTTCATTACACCAAATACACAAAATAATGTTATTTTTAGCAGCATCATATGACCCCTTTAAGTTCTGGATTGTTTGTTATTCATATAGGAAATAATTGAATTGCATTTAAGAATATAATCAAAATGTGGTAAGTTTCTAGAAAAGTGCCAAAAATAAATATCAAACCCCCTGAGTGTTATGAAAAGCAACTTTAATTTGAAGTGGGGTATTTTGCTATATCTGCGTTATAAAATGTTATTTATTTAAAATTGCACTGTAATTTCTTACTACTGTTTTTCCTGTAAATGTATTTTAGCAATAGTAGCAACTAGGGGGATTTATACAGATTAATTTTAACATGGAAAAAATTAGTTACTAGATTTGTTTCAACATTTTTCTTGGACCATTGATTCACTTTTCCTTGAATCCGACCTGACCACTAGGAGTAACAGGTATTATCTCATTCGTAATGGAACAATTTTAATCATTCCAGTTGAATAAGTGAATTGAACCCAACTGTGTTGTCATGTTTTTCCATTTAATAAAAACTGTTCAAAGAAAACAAGTGAAATATTTTCTTAATTCAACAAAAACCTTTATTTTTTTTCTTCGTCCTTAAGAATCAGGATTATGTAGGCCTACCTCTGATTTGCAAAGTTAAATCGAGTTTGGGGATAAAAAAAAAATTAAATCAGTGCATGTCGAAGCATAACAGCAAATCTGTACCACACTGCTTCCTTTTACGAAAGCAGAAGTGAACTGATGTCAAAACCCACACGTGGAATTAGGATAGAAGAAATGGGAGTTATAAAATGTCTTGAAAATCATGGAATAATTAATATTAGTCTTTTGAGGAAAAACCTTAGGATAAAAGAATATGCAAAACATGAAATGCCAGGTTTCCAAACATCACGTAATCGATATATATATATAATACTCTCTCTGAAGAGAATCAGCAGTCAGAGTTGAGACTCGTGTGAGCACGTGACGAAGATTGAGGAGCGCCGACAGACTTCTACTCAACCAGCAACGATTTTGGCCCACTTTGTAGTAGCTGCCAGTGAAGAATAACCACACGAGGAAAGGCTTTCAGGAAACACTGCTTAGAAGTACAATCCGTAACTGATGCAAGAGCGCACATTTCATGACAAAACTGAAATCAACTCCGTTCGAAAAATTACGGATTGTATTTTTAAGGACGCGGGACTTGAGGCAACGCTGAGACTGAAGACTTGAAAGGCTAGCGGAGATGTAGTGGATGAAACTCTTGACATGGAAATCAACATTCATTCTTCAGAAAACTAAATCAATCAAACAAACAAACAAACTAGTGAAATAAAGAAAGCAAACACACTCTTGGCTCTGCTGTGAGACCCCGGTGGCCCCTCGTATTGCATGTGTGTGAAGAGATGGTTGCAGGTTAGTGCTGTTTGACCCGAGGAGCTGTGACTCTACGCAGGAAACTGTACAGAAGTCCAAAATTCTGCAGGAAAACAAGAATTACCATTTACAAAGAATTAACTTTTTTGTAATATGGCAATGACATATATTTACATTTTTTCAGGGTT